GCAGGCCAGCGTCACCGTGCCGCCCAGCTCCCCGCTCACGGGCTCCAGGGGCCGGCAGAACCTGGCGGCCACCTCTGCGGAGGGGAAAGACGTCAGCCCGGAGGGCCTCGGGCCCTGGAGACCCGCTCTGTGCTTTGCTTTGGGGTCGTGCGCCCTGAGCCCCACCCATACCCACTCCCGAACAAGACACTGCCTGCTCGCCCTCAGTGAGGCCCAGCAGGCGCCGGGTGCGCAGAGGACTGCGCTGACCGCTGACCTTCCACCTGCACCGGGAAGTCCTGCGCCTCGGCGCCTACGCAGCAGCTGTACACCGCGCTGTCCAGAGTCTGTGCACCGCGCACCGTCAGGGTGTGCGTGTCCCCCAGGCTGGCCGTCTGGTGCCGTTTGCTGCGGCGAATCTCCACGCCGTCCTTGAGCCATGTCACCGCAGCCACAGAGGGTGCGGCCAGCGTGGCAGTCAGGACGATGTCCTCGTGTTCTTTGACCACCAGAAGCCCCCTGCGGTCGGGTCTCTCCAGGGCTGGGGACTCAGGCTCTGGCTCTGGGGTGCAGGGGGAAGGAGCAGGAGGGTTAGTCATCAAGAAAGTGGGGACCCTGCTTCCCTGGCCTGGTCCCTGCCTGCTTCGGGCCACACTATGGGAGAAGACCTAAAGTGGGACTGGCCTATCTCCAACTGCTATGCAACGCCTTAATCACCCAGTCCTTGGCTGCTGCTTCCACTGAGCAAGCCCAAGAGGGACCGCCTCAGAGTGCCACACCCCGTGATGGCCACCATCCAGGCTCTCAGGGGCCATGAAGAGTGGCCAAGAGGAGTCAGCTCCAGGGGACCGCAGGCCTGGAGCCACAAGCTCTGTCTAAGAGCCAAGAGGTTTGGATGCCTGCCCTCCAGGGAAGCCTGGGCCCAGGACAGAGGCTGAGAGGCTGTAACACCCTGAGTGCCTCAGAATGTGGGGGTAGTGCACAGCAGCACCAAAGGGGGAGTTGAAAGCCCCAGAAGGTGCCCAAGAGGGTCCCTGTAAGAGCCTATCCAGGGAGCACCTGAACACAGGCCGGCTGTACCATGGGGGGCAGGTGGGCAAGGGGATGGGGCCGTGTCCGCCAGCTCAAGACCAAACACCTACAGCAGGACTCGGAAACCCAGAGGTGCTGTCATCAGCTGGGGGCTATAAGGGACAGGTAGCACATCAGCAGAACCAGTGCCAGCCCTGGATGTGCCCCAGCAGAGGTCAGGTCCCCTGGCTGACTTAACAATTGCAGGACAGTCAGGAACCCAAGGCCAGTGATAGGGACCCAAACTCCCCTGAAGAAAAAGGCATCCAAAGCCAGAGGTCCTTCTGGTGAGGTTCTCCAGAGCAAGGCTGCACTTAACAGCTGCAAGAGGAGACTTTAAACAGAAAACCATGTGCTCCAGGCCCAGACAGAGAGGGCGCATTTCCACAGGCCTCAATCATTAACAGCCTGTAGAAGCCTCCATGAGGGGTTCCATTCTGGGGAAGGTGAGGATGTGGAAATAAGGAGCAAAAATCTGGATAAAACAGGTCCAGAATGCCTAGGACTAAGGTCTTAACCTAGGTCCTCAGTCCCAAGAGCTCAGTAGAGGAAGAGGCCTGAGGCAAGGCATGTTCATAGAAACCAAAACTGGTGCAACACGACAAACAGCCTTGCACAGCCTTTCAAAACAAAGCATGTCACTTCATTCCTCAGGTACTTGTCCTCTCTGCCCAGACTGGTACCCACTTGGAATATCTAGGGTGAAGGTGACCTTCTGGCCCCCGGCCTCGCAGC